TAGAGGCACTATGTGGGCGTAACCGTGAGAACTCCTTATACATATGTATGTGCAAAACTAACATCAATTCAAATAAAGCTATTAGTTGCATTCTAGAGCGCGCGTGGTGTTGAGCTCAGTGTTTACTTCAAAATGCCAAGTTGTTCGGTAGCGATTTGTATACATGTAAGTGGAATTATGAAACCCTGTGGAATAAACACTATTATGAAAAAATATATATTTTTTTTTATTTAATAAAATTATGAAATTAGTAAAGTCCTTCTCAGTTATGGCGAGACCAGGGAAATAGGGATTCATTTTTATATGGAGGATATAATAGATTCCAGTTTAAATTGAATAGGTACTCATACCTAAGGTAGGACAACTGTCAGCTATAAAAAATAAAGTAGTGCATCAAAGCTACGCTATGGCAGTACGAAGTTCGCCGGGTCAGCTAGTATATTATATTGTTATAATATATCCATTTATTCCCCACACTTTAAGTTACGCATCATATTCCATACGCTTTCCAACACTTAACTTTCTCAATCTCTATTTCTCCTTATCCGTTTATACTGAACATTTATTTTATCTCCCACTCCACCTGTAACGACATATGTTCAGTTCAAATTTTTTGGAGTCAAGAAGGTCCCTCGTAATGAACGGAAATATAGATAATAGGTGATTAATTAGAGAATTTTTAATCGACTTTCATCGAGAAAAGTTCAGTTGATGAACAAATCGATAAGATAAGGGGATGTCGATGGGATTCTTCAATTAAGACTTTCTATAATAAACTAGCAACACTTTTGTGTTGGTCGAACAATGCGTTGTATTTTAATGAAAATAAACTTCCTGACGTTAACAGTGAAAGTATAAATGCAACATGCAACTACCGATTTATTTTTGTGAAAATTTAAATTTGAAGATATTTTTTTGTCAAAATAAATTACGTGACAGTGCAATTAATAGCACAATTACAAAACATTTAAATTTAGGGGATGAAGCGACATTAAAAAAGGTGCTGAACAATTATCGAGACATATATTATGAAGAAGGAAGCAATTTACCGTCTACTAGTAAAATACAACATAGGATTAGAACTAAGAAAGATTTGCCATTTTATGCCAAACTTATAGATTCCGAAATAGACAGACAAACAAATGTATAATATAATTGTTCCGAGCAACAGTCCTTATAATTGACCTTTATGGGTCGTACCAAAGTTTATTGACAATAGTGGCGAACAAAAGTGGAGTATTGTAATAGGTGACAGAAAGTTAAACGAACAGACGATCGACCACAAATTTCCAATTCCACTACGAGTTTAATCGTATGCCCTTTGGGTTAAAAAGAGCTCCCGTGACGCTTCATAAACTAATAAATCATGTTTTAAGAGACTACGTTTATAAAATTTGTGTGGTATACTTGGACGATATTGTACTTTTTTATGTTATAGAACATACTGACTTCATAATGAAAATCATTAAAAAATTTAGTTATAAGTGAATCAGTTAAAAAACCTAACATGAAACTGCAGAGCTGGAAAATTGTTTCTTAACGAGTACGATTTTGATATTATTTATAGGTAAAGGTAAAGACAACACGGTAGCAAATAGTTTAAGCAAATACATAAAGAATGAGAATTGCAAAGCCGCAATCGTATTTAATAATGAAAATACTCAAAACGATAATAGTGGAGAACAGGTAGACATGGTCCACGGACAAGACAGTTCACATGGCACAAGAGGATAACTTAAAATACATTTTTATTACAGAAAAATCGGTTAACTATTACAAAAATCAAGTCTATCTTAATTTTGGTGAAACCGAAAAATATCTTGTAAAAATTGTACACAAAAAGTGTCAATGACATATTGTTGTAACAGTAAAAATCAAATTTATGGAAATAATGGGAGAAGTACTGGTAGAAAAATGTCTAATATGCATTTTTGTGACACGACGAACTTTTTCTTAAATTCCGAAACATGTATGTATACTCAAAATTTTCAACTCAAAGATTTAACATTATATAAAACAAAAATAAAACTAATTGAAATCACGGACAAAAATGAAATACTAACTACACTTATCAAACAGAAACACCAGCGATCTTGGCAGCTTTGAAGCACCGTATAAAATTTTAGGCAAAATGCGAAAACTGATGATTGATAACGAACACTGCATATTGCACATCGCAGTTAAATTATTTTTGGAAGAGGAAAAACTTGCGATTCATGTACACACCCCATGGCACAAAACGGGTAACTTTGACATCGAACGCCTACACGGTACATTAAATGATCATTTGAGAATAATATAGGCATATAAAAGCAATAAGACAGAAGACTTAAGAGAAAAACAGTTCACAATATTTAACAGTTAATTTTATAATAACACAATACATTAAACAACAAGAATGAGGCCGATTGATGTTATAAATAACAAGCAAGAAAGGGCTAAGTTCGGATATAACCGAACATTATATACTCTCGCAAAGTCAAATGGTATACTCGTTTCAGATTTCTTTGTGGATTGACTGATATTTTCGGTAGAAGGACAACTATAGGCTCTGGGGTCCACATATTTAGTACTTAGGGGCTTGAACAGTTTTGGTTCGATTTAGACAATTTTTGGTCACGCAAAGTTTTACCCCGATATCATCATTGTTGCTTGATATGCATAGTGGAAAGTGAAAGAATCAGATGGAATTGAAAATGGTGTTATATGCGGAATAGGCGTGGTTGTAGTCCGATTTCGCCCATTTTCGCACTATAACATAGAAATATGAAAAGTACAATTATGCACCGAATTTGGTTGAAATCGGTTAAGCAGATCCCAAGATATGAGTTTGCAATGACTAATTTTGAACGCGGTTCCTATAAACTCATCTCATACCATCCCAGAAATAAAATTCAATATCTCTGGCGTGTTTAGTGCTTGGTTTATCGCGCCGTCAATAGGGGTGCTAAAAACATTTGCTTCCAGTGAATTTGGTTATTATAGCTTTAGCGGTTTAGAAGATATGCACATTAAATTATTTAGGGGCTGGACCACGCCCACTTTAAAAAAAAATTTTAACTCCAGATGCTTCTCCCTAATGTGATCCTTTGTATCAAATAACAGTCTTGTATCTTATTGCGGAGCTTAGTTATGGCAATTTAATTGTTTTTGATTAATGGCGTTTTGTGGGCGTGGCAGTGGTCCGATTACGTCCATCTGCAATTCCAACCGTCTTACGGTACCAAGTTTCATGAAGATATCTCAATTTTTACTCAGGTTACAGCTTGCACGGACGGACGGACAGACAATCACCCGGATTTCACCTCGTCTCTTCATCCTGATCATGTGTATATATATAACCCTATATCTCTGTAGCAACATGTTGCGAGAGTATAAAAATTATGACACAGGATCGATTTAGAATTTATCTAGAAAAAACAAAGAACAAAAAATTAAAAAAAATTTTTCAGCTTAACCAAAAAAGGCATCAGAGTCAACTCAGTTGGGTGACGTAGTAATTAACAGACTAATTGCAAAGAATAAACCTAAATACCAACAATTAGATATATACCTATATGGGTCATGGTGATTATGTGGTGGACACATCAAATAAAACGAGAACAAAATACTATAAAACGCAATTAAAGTGTAATAACAAATTTTAAAATGTTATGAAAAATTAATAAATATTTAAAAAAAAATCTTAAAACACGATCAAAAATTAATTTAAGAAATTTTTGAAATATGAATTTAAAATGTTATACCAAGAATTTTCAGAGAAGTAAATTTCTTAAGAGTGAACCAATTATGTAATTCGAGAATTTTACACAATGTTCCAAACAAAAAAAAAATTTATGAAAAATTATTAAAAAATATTAAAAATATAAAAATGTAAAAATAACGATTATAAATTAATTTAAGAAATTTTTTTGTTATGAATTAAAAATGTATACCAAGAATTTGCAGAGACGCAAAAAGGATGGAGGTGTTAGGTATTAATTTATTTTCCATACTTTACGCAACATATTCCATACGCTTTCCAACACTTAAACTTCTTAATCTCTATTTTTCTTTATCTTCCTCATGCTTTTATACTAAACATTTATTTTATCTCCCACTCCACTCGCCATTCGCTTGTATTAGGCTATAATTTTTTCGATTAACGACCTCCAAATGTGACATTATACAAATAAAGAACTCGCTTACATAAATATATAAATGTTATTCTTTTATAAGTTAAAACCAGCCGCATTTTATCTATTATCGTAAGTAGTTCCAAAGTTAATCACTACATGCTTAAAACTTTGCAATTTATCGTATGTGCAATATTTGCAAAAATAGGCTGAATTCGTGATTAAATTTTGCAAAAGGGAGGAATTATGTGACATCTAAAATGAATATAAATATATGTATCTCTAAGTACAATATAGTACAGACTTCAGAAATCTGGCAACAACGACAGCAGTGCCCCCTACTTACAAAAACACACATTGAAAAAAAGTTGCATTGGGCTCAGAAAAATATCAACCGTGATTAGAGCAATGTAATATTTACATATGTGTCGACTTATGTATTGTTCAACCCCTTAAGACGTGTTTGGCTAAGAAAAGGACAAACATTTATTCAAAAGAGTGTTAAGCACCTCAAAATAGTGAATGTTTATGGATGCTTTTCTGCTCAAGAATTAGTGGTTTTAAGGTGGTTCACAAAAACCTAAACGCCGTTGGAATAATAAAATTGTATAAATAGGGTTTACTGAAGTCAGCCGAAATGCTTTCCAGCAAAAATAACCATGATTGGATATTGCAAAAGACAATGATCCGAAACATAGGAGTAGACCAATGGAAAATTAACAAAATTTTTCATTCTTCTCTTCCAACATACCTGGAGGTCGCTTCCTATGGAATATGAGCCAAATTTTGTTTCAAGTTGTCATCAAAGATGTCAGGTTATAATAGACAAAACGGGATATTGGAGCAAGTATTAAATAAACGCCAGCTATAACAAAACAATGTTTTTTCTATAATTAAACTCGATAGCTTTTTTGTTGCATTTTCATGGAAATTTTTTGACAAGAGAGCAGAAGCGAGCAGAGATATGACCAATCGAAGACCGCTGGTTTCTTAATAAAGGCTACATATCCCTTGGAAAACAAAAGCGTTAGTTTTTGAACGTACTGTAATATATTGAGTTGATGATCAAAACGTCAACCCGAAGATCGGAATTGATTATATTAGGGATATAAGGTTTAACCAAATGGCTAAATGAATTATACCTCCCCCTTAACATCCGACCTCCCACTCACGAGGACACCACACACAACTCATCATCCATTACCCAGCACCAACCGAGCAGACCTTAAAAGGACCAAACTGATCGGAAAACGGCCCTTCTTTTCGATTCACATTCAAGCACCAAAAACGTTTCAGTAGCGGTCCATGTCAGCAGCAGTATCGTCACGTGTTCCCTTCAATGAAATGAAGTGGAAATTATAACAAAAAACTGTGAAAACTGTGGACTTTAAGTAAATCAAACGAATAAAGTGGATTTGCAAATTAAAGGAGCAAATCGTACCTAAACTTATATCTAAAGTTTATAAAAGAAATATTTAAAAATACAAAATAAAGTGTATTTAAATATTGAAAGTTTTTCGTGAAACCTATATTGAAAAGTGTTGGTTTATTTCCTATCAGGAATCGTGGAATATAGCTAAATGAGTAAACATATGGCCCTTCGAGCCGTGCTGAAAGGCACCTACGGTAAAAGAGCCACAAAGAATATATTTTTAAGAAAAAATTTAAGTTGTTTCGCAGTTGGTCTGGTAGCGCGTGCTCACAAAGTGAAAAGTGAAAAGTGTATTGTCTTCACTAATTTAAATACGTTTTTGGTAATTTTATAAATATTGGTCAGTAAGAGCTCAGCTCCGTTAGAACGAAAGATCATATGGATATGTTACCACAAGTACACAATTTTTTCGAAAGTAACGGATTATTTGACTTTTTTTGGGAAGGGTTAAGAATACTATGCAATGTTTTAGGAAAGACGCGATGAAAGTTTGGCCCATAAAAAACCGAGAAATACAACATATAATGAACATAAGCAAATAGTACGGATGAGCCAGGTGGATCCTTTTTTGACATCACATGAATTAGAGCCCAAATGGAGCATAAGCAAGGTGCAAATGTATCAGCATAGATAGTCCGATGTAGATTGCATAAAAACTCCCTAAATGGGCGAATTGCACGACGCAAACCAAACGTACCAAAGAAGAACATCAAACAAAGGCTAGCGTTTGCAAGAGGGCACCAGCAAAAGGACTCAAAATTCTGGTATCTAGTGGTTTAGAGATAAATCCAAATCAGGCGACCACCACTACAAGAATTAAACCCACGATATACAAAATAAAACTGTGAAACATGGTGGATCATCAGTCATGATATGGGGGTGCTTCACTCCATTCGGGGTAGGACCACGTGTACATGTTGAAGCAAAAAAACTGGAATTATTAAAGAGATATTTCATACTCTTGCAACTTCCCAGGATCAAAGCCAGCGAAATACCTTCAGGTGCATACGGTTTTTAGAACAAAGAAAATCAAGTTACAAGTATGTAGTATAAGACAGTTTGGGTAATTTGTGAACCAATTTCACCTATTTTCGGCATTAAACTATAGTATATTCAATATTATACTTCCAGTAAATTTTACTAAGGTATCTTACATATTTGCTGAAATATGCTATATAAAGACAGCCGGTAGTTCGAAAATCATTCTATTAGGTATATGGGGGCTAAAGGAATTATTGACCCGATACAAACCATTTTTGGCATACAGGCATATTATTATCAGAAAAGGATTCGCTTTGAATTTCTATAACATATCTTACAGATTGACCGATTTTAGTCCAATTGATTTTAGCCCGATTTATACAATTTTTGGTAATAAAGTCGATCAACTCAAAGGCACTATTCATGCAAAGTTTTGCCTCGATACAATCATTGTTGCTTGATTTGCATGGTGGAAAGTGAAAGAATCAGATGGAATTTAAAATTGTGTTATATGGGAAATAGGTGTGATTGTGTTCCGCCCATCGCCTATTTTCGCACTATAACATAGAAATATGAGAACAATGTTATGTACCGAATTTGATTGAAATCGGTGTAGCAGATCCCAAGATATGTAGTTTCACCTAAAAGTAGGCGGCACGCCCACTGTCTAAATTTGAACACGGTTTCTATAAAGCCTTCTCATACCATCCCAGAGATAAAGATTACTGTCTCTAGGGTGTTTAGTACTTTATTTATTGCGGTACCAAGAAATATGTGTACCAAGTTTCATAAAGATGTCTCAATTTTTACTCAAGTTACAGCTTGTACAGACGTACAAACAGTCAGCCGGAATTCAACTCGTCTCTTTATCCTGATCATTTATATATTATATATATAACCCTATATCACAACAATAGGAGGGAAAAGCAAAAAGCAATAAAATACATATAATAAGTATATTTCAATATTTCA